CCCAGCACCCATGTGGGACGGCTGATCGGCTCACACTCTGACATTGGTTTTCAGTTAACTCAATTCCCACGATGAGAAGGAGGGCGATGGAACAGAAAGGTGAAAGAGTCGGCGACAACAGTATGGTTTAAATTGCTGAGCCCCTGTAATGCTAAACATGTCAAAATGAGAAATGGTGCTTACAGGCCCTAAAACTGGTGCATTTCCTGGTGCGTGTCAACATAAAAGTGGTGCAAACCTGGGTGTTGAAACGAATGTGGCTTCATTGAATGTTCAAAAGGCGGTGCTAAACCTAGTGTTGAAATACATGTTGGTGTATTGAATGGTCAAAAGATTGCGCAAAAACTGGTGTTGAAACAGAAGGGGCTTCATTGCATGGTCAAAGGATGTGTAAAACTTAGTGTCAAAACAACCGTGAAGTCCTAGATCAAAGCACTTTGGATGAAATACTCGATAAATTAGATCAGCGTTTTGAGATGTGCTGTGTTTCTTTTTTTGAGATTTGCCGTGAATGCTTGGACCGTTGCCTGGCAGGCTTGTCTTCATGCACGCACAGAAGATTTAAAGTCAAAGTCAATGATGTGTTCCCGCATGTGCCAGTTTCAGCTTCACGGTTTTAGTCTGATATGATATGTATGATTCGTTGTACTGTGTACGGTACCAGAAAATATTGCCCGAACTTGTTCCCGTTTGACGCATCAGCAAAGCCTGTGCCATGTTGGCAAATTTGTATCGGCGGCAGTGGCATGACCGATCCAGAAGCCCCAGCAGGCACCCGGAGTGTCAAGAGGAGTGTGAATCAGAATCAGTGACATGTTTCTTGAACGAGATGAGATGATGGATGCATGAGTTTTAAACAGTCAGCTGTCAGCGAAATGTCCAGGCCAGTGGAGTCTCACCAACGCGGAGGTCGAGCATTTGTGAATCCTCCTTGGCCCGTGGTTGATTGGTCACGGCTGTTTGTGCAATCTGTTCAACTTTCACCTGACGTTTTGCTTTCTCCGCTTCGAGAAGCTTTGGCGACATAGCCTACAACATACGTACAACAACTTTCAACTTACTATGACTATGACGACTAGGCACTATGAGACTATGAGTCAGTAGTCAGTATCAGAGTGACAGTGTGTGTGCGATGTGGCGTGTGATTTTTCTTGCTGGTTTCGCATGCCCAAATCGAGGAGCAAGGACGCTACTAGGGGCTCCTGGCAT